TAAGTTTACTTGTTCCGGATCTGTGTTCGAGTCCTTGATATCCTTATTAATTTTCTGTCTCATTGAATCTAAGTCTCATATCTGGGTGTTAGGATCGTTAGCTCTTGTTGTTGCATTGATCCTTTTACCACTATATCTTTGTTGCTTTAAAATCTATTTTATCCGCTACGAGAATTGCAACTCCTGCTTTTTATTTATTTATTATTTATTTTTGCTCTCCATTTGGTTGGTAAATATTTCTCCATCCCTTTGTTTTGAGTCTTTGTGTATCCTTGCATGTGAAACAGGTCTGGATGTAACATGCCATTGGGTTTTGGCTGTGTCTTTTGATTGGGGGATTTAGTCAATTTATATTTAGGGTTACTGCCATTTGATGTTGACCGGCTGTTTTATCCATTCGTTGGTGTAAATTCTTCTTTATGTTGATGCTCTTTATTTTTTGGTGTATTTTTAGAAAGGCTAATACTGGTTGTTTCTTTCTGTGTGTAATGCTTCTTTCAGAAGCTCTTGTAAAGCAGGCCTGGAGGTAATAAAATCTCTGAGTTCTTGCTTGTTCATAAAATATTTTATTTTTCCTTCAGTTGTGAAGCTTAGTTTGGCTGGATATGAAATTCTGGGCTGAAGGTTCTGTTCTTTGAGGATGTTGAATATTGGCCCCCACTCTCTTCTGGCTTGTAGAGTTTCTGCTGAGAGATCTGCTGTAAGTCTGATAGGCTTGCCTTTGTGGGTAACCTGACCTCTCTCTCTGGCTGCCCTTAGTATTTTCTCCTTCCTTTCAACCCTGGTGAATCTAACGATTATGTGCCTTGGGGTTGCTCTTCTTGAGGAATATCTTTGTGGTGTTCTCTGTATTACCTGGGGTTGAATGTTGACCTGCTTTGCTAGTTTAGGAAAATTTTCCTGAATAATATCCTGAAGGGTATTTTCCAGCTTGGATTCATTCTCTCTGTCACATTCAGGTACACCTATCAAATGTAAATTTGGTCTTTTCACATAGTCCCACATTTCTTGGAGACTTTGCTCATTCCTTTTTATCCTTTTTTCTCTAATCTTTTCTTCGCGTTTTATTTCATTAAGTTGGACTTTGACCTCTGATATCCCTTCTTCTGCTTGAACAATTCGAGTGTTTAAACCTGTGCATACTTCTCGGAGTTCCTGTATTGTATTCTTCAGTTCCATTATTTCACTCATACTCCTCTCTAAGTTGTCTATTCTCATCAGGATTTCATCAAACTTTTTTTCAAAGTTCCTAGTTTCTTTATGTTGGGCTACAACATGTTCTTTTAACTCACCGAAGTTTGTTATTATCCATTCCTTGAAGAGTGATTCTATCATCAGGATGCGCTCGTCCTCCATCAAGCCTTGTTCCATTGTTGATGTGGAACTGTGATCATCTTTAGAGGGAGAGGCGTTCTGACTTTGAGTATTCTCAGCTTTTTTACGCTGGTTTCTTCCCGTCATTGTAAATTTATCCTCCTGTCGTCTTTGAAATTACCAACTTTCAGATCAGGTCTCTTGAGTGGACGTCCAGGTTGTTAGTTCCCAGGGCCAGAGCAGTGGCTTTAAAACTGATGATGCTTTTCTGCCCAGGATTCTCCTGTCTGGCTTCCTTCTTGTGTCCGTAGTAGGCGACTCTGCCTTCCTGGGGCTCCAAACTTCGGTCAGAAGGGGAACCGGTCCCGTTTACTCTGCGCCGAGCGCTGCCGCGCCGAGGTGCCGTCACAGCCGCTGCGCCGGGCTCTGGTGTCCTGCTGGGGACCCGTGCGGGTCCTCCGAACCTGTTTACTCTGCTCCAAGAGCTGCTGCACCGAGGTGCCAGAGGAACCGCTGTGCTGGCCACGAGAGTCGCGCTGGCCACCCGTGTGTTTCCTCCACTGGGGGATCTTCTGTTCTGTGAGCGACCAGAATTTGTCTGAAAGTGTGGCATCCTCTAGTTCTCCGTGCTTTCCCTGAGAGCTGCAATCCCGGGATGTTAGCGATCGGCCATCTTGGATCATTCCCCCATTTATCTATTTTTCTATTATTTTGCCAATACCATGCTGTCTTGATGTATCTTGATAGCTTCATTGTAGTTCTGAAGTCAGATACTGTCAATCTTACAACTTTATTCTGTGTCAGTATCATGTTGGCGATTCTGGGTCTTCTGCCTTGCATATAAACTTTAAAATAAGTTCGTTGTTATCCATAAAATTACTTGCTGAAATTTTGATTGTGATTACATTGAACTTCTAGATCAAGTAAATAAATAAAAAATAATAAAACAATTAGCTGATTGTGGTGGCACATGCCTGCAGCCCCAGCTACTTGAGAGGCTGAGGTAGGAGGATCACTTTGAGCCTAGGAGGTTGAGGCAGAAGTGAGCCATGGTTGCACTTCTACACTCTAGCCTGGGCAACCCTGTTTAAAAAAGCCCTAAACCCCACAAAACCTAATATTGAATCTTTCTATCAAAATACTCATTCATCTAGATTGCTTTCATTAGTTTTGTAGTTTTCCTCATTCATGTATGAATCTATGCACACACACATTCACACATATTTTGTCAGATTTATCCCTAAGTATTTCCTTTTTATAGGCACTAATATAAATGATACTGTGTTTTTAATTTTAAATTCCAGTTGCTTCTTGTTGGTATATAGAAAAGCAATTGCCTTTTGTCTATTAACCTCACAGCCTGAAAACTTGCCTTAAATGCTTATTAGTTCCAGAATGTTTTTGCCAGTCTTTGGGATTTTCTACATAGACAATCGTGTCATCTGTGAACAGAATCAGTTTTATTTCCTTCTTCTCAATCTGTATGCCTTTTATTTCCTTTTCTTCTTACTGTGTTAGTGAAGACTTTAGTGTAATGTTGAACAGGAGTGATGGGGGGGACACTCTTGTTTTTTTCTCAATCTTAGGGGAAAAGCATCCAGTTTCTCATCATTAAGCATGATGTTAGCTCTAGGTTTTTGGATCAAACTGAAGAAGTTCCCCTCTACTAATAGTTTGTTGATAATTTTTTTTTTAAATCATGAATAGGTATTGGATTGTATCAAATGGGTTTTTTTTTTTACATCTATAGACATGATTATATGATTTCTCTTCTTTAGCCTGTTGATGTAACAGAATGTTATTCACTGATTTTTGAAAGCTGAACCAGCCTTGCATATCTGGAATAAATCCCACTTGGCTGCAACATGTAATTCTGTTTATACATTGCTGACCTCACTTTGCTAATAATTGAGGATTTCTGCAGCATGTTCATGGGAGATATTGACCTGTAGTTCTCCTTTCTTATAATGTCTTTATTTGAGTAGTAGGGTAATGTCTAGGGTAATGTTGGATGCATAGAATGAGTGAGAAAGCATTCTTTCTGCCTTGATTTTCTGGAAGACACTGTAGATAACTGGCATCATTTTTTCCCTTAAATTTTAATAGAATTCACCAGTGAAACCATCTGAGGCTGTCATTTCTGTTCTGGAAAGTTGTTATTAATGATTTAATTTCTTTGGTAGATATATTTTTATTCAGATTGTCTGTTTCTCCTTGTGTCAGTTTTGGTGGTTTGTGTCTTTCAAAATCAGTCCATTTCATCTAAGTTATCAGATTTGTGGGTACAGAGTTGTTCACAATATTCTTTACTTATCCTTTTTTTCTTTTTTTTTTTTTGAGACAGGGTCTCACTCTATTGTACAGGCTGGAGTTCAGTGGCGTGATCACAACTCACTGCAACCTTGACCTCTTGGGTACAAGTGATCCTCCCATCTCAACTTACTAAGTAGCTGGAATTACAGGCACAACTGGCTTTTTTTTTTAAGAGATGAGGTCTCCGTACATTGCCCAGGCTGGTCTCCACCTCCTGGGTTCCAGCGATCCTCCTTCCTCAGCCTTCCAAAGTACTGGGACTATAGATGTGAACCACTTCACCCAGCCCATTATTCTTTTAATATCTATAGATTAGTAGTGATAATCTTATGTTCACTTCTGATATTAGTAATGTATATCTTCTCTCTCTTTTTGGCCAGGTTTATCAATTTTATAGATATTTGCAAAGAACCAGCTTTTGTTTTGTTGATTTTCCCTGTTTTCTACTCTGTACTTTTATCACAGCCTCCTAAGTACCCACTCCCTTTCCATTCTTGCCCCTCTAATCAAATTACCTTCCTGTAGCCAAAGACATCTTCCTAAGGGTCTAAACTGATTACGTCACTACTCATCTGCTTAAAACCCTCCAAGGCATCTTTTGCCCTTGAGATGAAGCCCAAATTTCTTCTTGTTATCTCTAAAGCCCCATATAATTTGGTCTCTCCCCATTCCTCCAGACTTCTCATGTTCCACCCTCATATCTCCTGGAGTTTGGCAGCATAGAAAAGACAAATACATCTTTACACATATATTTATTTCAGTTATAGATAAGGAAGAGATAAATTAGTCGATATCATGTATAGAAAGTTCTTCAATTGGCTGAGACCATTGAGAAAAACTAGAGAAAAGGTTGGTAACCAAAAACTAATATAAAATGGATTTCTGAAAATAGTTTCTAGAGATCTATAGCCCATAATGAAAGTTTGAAAAAACTACAGAAACATCAAATATATTTTTTTCATTGTAAAGGTGGAATAAAAACAATATTTAGAACCAAAAGAAAAGAAAGTAGCTACAATTCCACTATCCTAACATAACTATTATGATATTCTGCAGTAGTTGTTATGTTACATTCAGATACAATTATAGTGACAGGCTTGAAGGTCACTTCATGGTTCCTGACCCTGGCATATTAGAATCATCTGGGAGAATATTTAAACATAAAGGAACCTGAGCCCAATTCCTGATCAACTACATCAGAATCTCTGGGTAGTGAGGTCTTGGTTATGAATCACCACACATAGACATACTCCTATGTACAGACAGATTTATTCTTGGTATCAATTACCTGGGGAAGTGGAGACTTCTTCAGACAGGAAACAGAATCTTTTATTAAAGCAGTAGTTCTCAATTTGGCTGCATATTAGACTCACCTGGGCAGCTTTAAAATTCTATGCAAAGGCTGTGTCCTCGCTCTAGACTTCAAAATCTCTAGAGGATGGGATGCAGGCATCAGTAATTTTTTAGGCTCCCCAGGTGATTCCAATATGCAGTCAAGGTCAAAAAACACTGTGCAGAGAGAGCCCTCCATGAGCTGCAAAGGAGGAATTTCGATCTTGTCACATAGTTCAAGATGTCCAGGAGAAAGTCTTTGAACAGTGGGCTGTGAAAAAGTCTAGATGTCACGAAGCAAAGAACCTAGCCAAATCCTGCAATGCTGTGCTTTCCTGTTGTGAAGTAAGTATGGCCCAGGCTCATGCTAGCTATAGAAGGGACAGAATTCTGCATTTTGCAAAGCAGACTACTCCTTTGGATTTCTTGTCCTCTCAAGGTTAATTTCTCTGATGTCCTCTTTTAATCTTTAGTGTAATATTTTTAGCTTTGCTTAGAGGAGCCAAGAGAAAGTAACCTCCCGCCTACCTACACACATACCTCTTTCCTCTTTTTCTTCTTTAAGGCATTAAAGAGAAGCTGGCCCTCTGAAGTCAGCATGATGGTGGCATAAGTTCTTCAAGTGACAGTTTCTCCAGGAGATGGTGAAAGTCAGTGTTAGATAAAGGAAGGGGCCACCTGACAGTCCTCACCACTGCACTCTCTTCTCCCTAAAAATCTTCTAATAACAATACTTGAAAGATCTGGACTTTGTTATTAAAGATTGCTCTATTCTCTCTTACTCATACCCTCTTCCTTCTGTTCTCAATTGATTGAACAAATATCTACTGAATATTTACTATGCACATAAACACTATACTAGGCATTGTGAATACATCTGTAAGCAGAAGATTCATAGTTCTTGCCCTTACAAAGCTTACGGTATAGTACAAACGCAGGATCGAACTGACTGTGATTCTGGGAAAAAACAGAAAGCTATGTTGAATGGTGAGAAAAGTAAAAAAGTTTGGAGCCAGGCAGAGAAGGGTTCAAATACTGGCTTGATCACATTTAGTTCTGTGAATACAAGTAAATTACCTATCCTGTCTACAGTCATTTTCACATTTGTTAAACTGCATTTAAATAACATCTACTTCATAGAGTTGCCCACCATTTATCCATGCAACAAATATTTATTAATTGATCACTAAGTAATACAGTAGACACTGGTTTGGGTGCTAGAAAATAGTGCGGAACAAAATAGAAAAAAAAACACTGTAGTAGATGGAGACAGACAATAAACAAGTAAATAAAACATACGAAGCATTGGAGAGTGATAGGTACCCTGGAGAAAATGACACAATAAAGGGGAATGGGGAATGCCAATGGGGGATGGGGCTATGCTTTTAAATGGGATGAGCAAGAAAGACTTTATTAAGAAGGTGACATTTGAGCTATGTTTAAAAAGGGGAGGGAGTGCACAATCTCTGCAGGTAGTTGGGGAAGAGTGTTCCAGACAAAGGAATGAGCAAATGCCAAGAGTCTGAGGCAGAAACAGGCCTGGAGTATCTGAATCACAGCAAGGAGACCAGGATAAAACAATAAACAAGAAGGAGAGTAACAAGAACCAGGGTGTAGACCATGTAGGGCCTTGGTGAGCATTGTAAAGGTTCTGGCTCTCATTCTACAAGAAATGGGGAGCCACAGGGGAGTTCTGATCACAGGAGTAACAAGATCTACCTTGTACTTTATCGGGATCACTTTGGGTTCAGTGTGGAAACAGACCACAGAGAAGCAAGTGAAAATCTGGGAGACTAGTTGGGAGTGCAAAAATTAAGTGGGAGATGATAATGGTTTGAACAGAGTGATGATATAGAGGTAGTGAGAAATGGCTGGACATAAGGATAGTTAAGGTAAAGCTAATAGGGTTTACTGATTATTAGATTTGAGTGTCAAAGAAATGATGCTACAGTATTTGATGTGAGCAACTGGAAGGATGCAGTTAGCTGCCATTTCCCGGGATAGAAAAGATTCTGGGAGGCAGGGGTGTGAATCTGGAGTTTGGTTCTGGACATGTTAAGTGTGAGATGCCTAATACACAGCCAAATGAAGGAGGCGATTGGGTAAATGAGTCTGGAGTGTAGGGAAAGAGAACTGGGCTTGATATAAATGTAGGTGTCATCAGCATATAGATGATATTTAAAGGCATGATACTGGATGAGATTATCTAAGCAACTGTTGTGGGAACAGGTAACATAGAAAGTACCTAGTGTACCACTGGGCATATAGTAGGTGCTCAATAAATGCTTTCCCTTGCAGCCATAGGGAACTTGACAGGCTGTTTTAGAAGTAGTAAACCCACACCCTTCGATAGCTCAGCTGGTATAGCAGAGGACTGCAGAGGTTCGCAACTACCGTCACCCTGAGAAGTAATAAACTCACCTCAGGCTGTATTTAGACTGCCCCATGTTTATACACTATTACAAATGACCTGGTTTCACAAGACTCTGGGGGTTGAGTTGTTTGCTTTCATTTTCATGTTTTGTGTCTTCACATGGAATTCCTTATACAGTCAGACTGAGCATTAAAGTCCCCATGCTCTCGCCCACATGGCAACTATAAAACACCACATTGTGGCAGCAGACAGGAACTTTCTCAGAGCACAGAGCAGCTGTCCACACGCAGCAGAAATAGATGAAACTTCCATTTAATTAAATGTGCTCTCAGAAGGCCCACATCGGCTCAGCAAACTCACACCTGATCACCAAGATCTGGCTCCTTCAAGGAATCCGGATGGCTCATCTCTCCCCTAGACTAATGGGCACATTCCTGACTCATCATGTCATATTCTTTATAACAGAGACTGAGATGTCCTTAGGGTTCTGTCTGGAATGCTCTGCCTCTCTTCCTTTGACTCTGTTCAAACGTCACCTTCTCAATGAGTTCTACTTTGACTGTCCCATTGAAACTTGCAATCTCTTCAACAGCATTCCCTTGTCTTTTGCTCTATTTTCTTTCATAGCACTTACCACCTTCTAAAATCCTAAAAACTTTATTTATAATACTTTTTGTTTATTGACTGCCTTGTTCACTGGTATATTCTCAAAGGACAGAATATTGCCTGATACATATTAGTTGCTCAGCAAATCTGTTGATTGAATGAGGGAGTGTCCACTTTATTGTTGGGGCAAGAGTCTTTACTCCTGAGCCTTTTCCCAAGGCCCTCAACTTTGAGCCAGACCACAGCAGACCCCTTTCAGACAGCAGATGTGCCCCCTTGGAGGAATGCAGCAGCTTGAGTGCCCAACCCCTGGGGAGACAGGGTCAATTCTTGGGCAACCACAGGCTAGTAATATCACCAACTCACCAGTCTTACATTCTAGTTATTCCTGTTCCTCTCCCAACCATTTTTTTCCTCAGTTTTCTTATTCTCAAGTCACTGCTCTCTGCTTCTTCTTGGTCCAATTTCCTACTGCCCCCCTGGCACAGCCCACACTCTACCTTTCCATTATGCGGCATAAAACTGTGTTCCTTTATATCCTCAAACTCTTCAGTGAATGCTCCTTCCATCTTTGCTTTCATAGAAACCTAGGTCTCGGGAAAACACCATTTTTACAGCCCTCTGCAAGGGAGGCTGCTCTTCCTTTTATAATCCATGCACCCTGGGATCCCTGGTTATTATCTTGGTACTCCATTAATGCTTCCAAACCACCAATATGTCATACGTATTATAAAAAAAGAAACAACCAGAAACTTGTCTGTTGCTCATGCTATCCAGCAGTACTTCCTTTCCTCTTCCTTCCTGTTTCAACTGCTTCCTCCTCATTCACTAAGACTTCAGCTCACAGGATAGCCTTTCCAATCAAGCTTATAAAGCTGTGCCTATGGCTTAGAGCTTTCCGTTTATTCCAGTTAGAAAACACACAGCTGGTGCTCAAGAAATATCTGCTAAACAAAAGAGTGAAGAAATGAAATCTGGGGTATGGAGCAGGAGGCAAGCTGAGGTCCAGGTCTCATTTTTGGGCGATGTCCCTGCCAGTTTACCAGACACTGATAAGGGCTGACTCTCATCCTTGGTATTACCATTGTCACCGCATTAACTGAGACTTAGTAGTTAAATAACTCACTCCAGATTAGAGCTAGTAAGATGTGGAACTGGGCCCAAAAATCCATGTCTGACTCCACAGCTCACATTTTTAACCACCAAAAAGTTCTGTCTTCTTGAACAGTTCTTGTAGTAAAAAGACAAGGTTTTTGCACATCAGTATTCTGAATAATGCTTACAGCACTGACAAGTGATTTTTGTCATGTAGATACAAGCAGCAAGGCATTCTCAAAGGAAATATAAGCCACTCTATTTATTCCAGAAAGGCATAATTAAACAAATACAGTGAAGAAAAAACAATCTAAAATATCTATTTCCAGGGTTTTGGAATATCACTGGACATAAGGTATTTTAAGAGTATTTCTCCCATTCTGTAGGCTGTCTGTGCACTCTGGTAGTTTCTTTTGCTGTGCAGAAGCTCTTTAGTTTGATTAGGTCTCACTTGTCAATTTTTGTTCTTGCTGGAGGTCCTTTTGGGGATTTAGCCATACATTTTTTTTGCCAAAGCCAGTGATGAGAAGGGTATGTCCTAGGTTTTCTGTGGGGATTTTTATAGTTTGAGGTCTTACATTTAAATCTTTAATCCATCTTAATTTTTATATATGGTGAAATGTAGGGGTTCAGTTTCATTCTTCTGCATATGGCTAGCCAGTTATCCCAACACCATTTATTGAATAGGTAGTCCATTCCCTACTGCTTACTTTTGCAGACTTTGTCAAAGATCAAATGGTTGTAGCTGTGTGGCTTTATTTCTGGGTTCTCTATTCTGTTCCATTGGTCTGTGTGTCTGTTTTTGTAGCAGTATCATGTTTAGTTACTATATCCTTACAGTAGAGTTTGAAGTCTGGTAATATGATACCTCTAGCTCTGTTCTTTTTGGTTAGGATTGCTTTGGCTATTCTGGCTCTTTTTTAGTTTCATACGCATTTTAGAACAGTCATTATCCTAAGCAAATTAATACAGAAGAGAAAACGAAATATCACATATTCTCACTTACAAATGGGAGCTAAACACTGAATACATATGGACATAAGAACAAGAACAATGGACACTGGGGACCACTAAGGTGGAGTGGAGACAGGGATGAAAAACTACCTGTTTAGTACTGTGCTCACTACCTGGTTGATGGGACCATCCATACTCCAAACCTCGGCATCACACGATAAACCCAGGTAAAAAACCTGCACATTTGCCCCCTGAATCCATTTTTTTTTTAAAAAGGAGTATTTCTATGCAATAGGGTTCCAAGAATGGAAAACACCTGGAGTGAGGAGCCCATTCTCATGCAGATGTAGCTGTGTTGCATTCTCAATTAAGGGTGAGCCAACCTTGCACCTGTTTTTTATAGGGCCTGTGAGTTAAGGATGTCTTATTACATTTTTAATAGATGAGGAAAAAAATTAAAAGAAGCATATTTGGGCCAGGTGCGGTGGCTCACGCCTGTAATTCCAGCACTTTGGGAGGCTGAGGCGGGTGGATCATGAGGTCAAGAGATCGAGACAAGCCTGGTCAACGAGGCGAAACTCCGTCTCTACTAAAAATACAAAAAATTAGCTGGGCATGGTGGCGCATGCCTATAATCCCAGCTACTCAGGAGGCTGAGGCAGGAGAATTGCCTGATCCCAGGAGGCAGAGATTGCGGTGAGCTGAGATCGCGCCATTGCACTCCAGCCTGGGTAACAAGAGTGAAACTCCGTCTCAAAAAAAAAAGAAGCATATTTTATGACGCAAAAATTACATAAAATTGCCAGGTGCAGTGGCTCATGCCTGTAATCCCAGCACTTTGGGAGGCTGAGGTGGGCGGATCACTTCAGGTAAGGAGCTCAAGATCAGTCTAACCAATATTGAGAAACCCCATATCTACTAAAAATACAAAATTAGCCGGGCGTGGTGGCACATGCCTATAATCCCAGCTACTCGGGAGGCTAAGGCAGGAAAATCGCTTAAACTCAGGAGGTGGAGGTTGCGGTGAGCTGAGATAGCGTCACCGCATTCTAGCCTGGGCAACAAAAATGAAATTCCATCTCAAAAAAAAAAATTATATAAAATTAAAATTTCAAGGTCCATAAATAAAGTTTTATTGAAATATAGCCACACTCATTCATCTAGGTACTATCCATGGACACTTTCATGTTAAAACAGCAAAGTTGAGTAGTTGTGACAAAAAAAATAAGGCCTCAAATCCTAATATATTTACCATTTGGCCCTTTGCCAAAAGTTTGCCAACTCCTTTTATAAATAATTTCTTCTGTCTTACCTTCCAGTTCACTAACTCTGTCTTTAGTTGCATCTAATCTGCTGCTAACCCCTTGTATTGAGTTTTTAATTTTGGTCACTGTATTTTTTAACTCTAGAAGTTCATTGTTTTTCAAATCTGGCATTTTGCTTTTCAGGTTCCCTATGCTATGCATATAGTTCAGTATTGTCTCTTATTTCTTTAAATACAGCATATTTAATTGTTTTACAAATGATGTGTGGTAATAATTCCAGTTTCAGAAATCTTTGTGGGTTCTCCTCTGTTCAGTCAGTTCTCCTCTGTTCAGTCATGGTTCTCATAAAACCATGAGAACAAGCTTCAACAGAAGCTTGTTTCCTCGTGTGTTTAGTTGTTTTTTACTGTGAGCTGCTCATTTCCTTGAAAAGTTATTTTGTGAGGAATGCATATGACTTCCTCTATGGAAAGCCTGCATTTATTTCTGCCAGGTGCTTAGAGGCCAGTCTGGAATACCTTAAACTGAACTCACAGCTCGAGGTTCCCTAGAATACCTGAGTGATGAGAACTCTGGCCACAAATATCAAGTGTTTTTGTTCTATTGCCATGGCCTACTCAGAGTTTTGGTAATTGTTCTTGCAGTCCTGCTTTGGGGGTGCAGATTTATTAATGTTCTAGCTTATCCTTATGCTGAGTCTTTTGGGGTTCTAATTTAATGTGAAAATAATTAAAAGATGAAAAATATGGAAGGTAAGTTAATATAATGAGAAAGGTCTAAAATTCAATCAGAATTTCAGAAGAGGAATAGAGAAAGAGTACGGCAGAGGGAATATTTAAAGAGATAATGGCTGAAAGTTCTCCAGAACATATGAAATTCTTATACCTAAGAATCTAAATGAGGCCAGATACTGTTGCTTACACCTGTGATACTAATACTTTAGGAGGCTGAGGTGGGAGGATCACTTGAGCCCAGGAGTTCAAGACCAGCATGGGCAACACAGCAAGAGCCTATCTGTACCAAAAAAAAAAAAAGAAAGAAGCTAAATGAATCCTAATCAAGATAAATAAAAAGAAGGCCTTACATTGGCATAATTATTCATACTTTACAGAACCCTTTTTTAAATTCTTCAAGAAACCATAGAAAGTAGGTGCTATTATCTACATTTTTCATAAAGGAAAACTGGGATTCAGAAATCTAAAATATAATAATTATCTAAGGTTATATAATACTAACCAGCAGAGAGAGAATTCAAATCCAGTTCTGATTCAAATTCAGTTCCTTTCCTATACCTCAGAAATAAAATATAACACAGAGAGGGACTTGGTAAGGGGAGATCTCAACTTTGCTGAGGAACTGCCCCCACCAAAAGTAGAATCCTTAACTTGGAAACTTCTCTCTGGAAGTAGGTGGAAACCTTTCTCAGGTATCTGTGAGACTGGAGAGACAGCACTAGACTTCTGAAGACAGCATTGGACTAGAAAAACCTTTGCAGCTAGAGGCAGGAAAAGTTCTAGCTTGTAGCTTAAATTGTGAGTTAAATCAAATGAGGCCAAGCCAATTTACTGTGCTAAAGACCAAGTTAACTCACATAGCTCAAAGAATTGGCCTGATACACAACAGAAAGCTACACAACAGCCTACTATGTACCACCCAACTGTCAAGAGAGCAGGGCAGAAGTGCCCTCCTCATCGTCCTCTTTTCACTGTTGAAGACAGTTTAAATACTGTAGTTAACATATCCTAGAGAATATGCCTTTTGTTCATCAATGTGATTCAACTTGGTAATTACTCTATCTCTTCCGTTCTGGTGGCATTTCACTTGCTTAGGGCTTATACTTGATTTGCTTTTTTTTTCCTGTGTGCTAAATTAAGAATTTTCTAAGAGTGAAGCCTGTGGCTTTCTAGCCACATTCAAACCCCATTCCCCAGATGTAAAGAGTGAAGATGTAAGAATTTTCTAAGCGTGAAGCCTGTGGCTTTCTAGCCACAATCAAACCCCATTCCCCAGATGTTAACATGCAGCTGACATCTCTCTACTAGCCTGGTAACCAGAATAGACACTTCTTCCTTCATAGTCGCCTCCGTAATGTATAAAAGTTGGGAGATTTACAATGCTTGAAGTCATAGCACGAGGCACCAGAGCCAAGAAGCCAGATGCCAAACTATTCAGAGGGAAAACCAACCAGCCCCTGGTTTGATGTCTTGTATATAGGTGTGGCCATCACCATCAGATGCAACTGTGGAAAAGGCCTTATGTAAGACAGGAGAGGAAGGAGACACAATTCTGATCCTTCATGATGTTTGCGTGGTACAGGGCAGGGGACACAGATGCACAAAGATGACTAACAATAGAAAGGAATCACAGTAAGTAGAAATGTGGTTTTGCAGGGATTTATTGAGCATCAGCCATGTGAGCAGGCTTGCATGGGGCATGAACACATAGAGTGGAAAGAGCTGCAACTCAAGGCATGTTTGTCAAATAGGGAAGTACGCAGTCATCCTACCATCATCCATCCAAGCATTCAGTGTTTAATGAGCACCTGACACACATAGACCAATACTGTATAGGTGCTAGAGAAACCAATAAGGCCAGTAGGGAAGGATCCTGGAAGGATTAGATATTCAATACTTGACAGTCCTCTATAAATTAATCATTTCAATTGAATTCTTACAACAACCCTGTGAAATAAGTTTATTGTCATCATCTTACAGATGAAACTGAGACTCAGAGTGGTTAAGTAGCTTGCCCCATAGCTTGCCCCAAATCATAAAGAGAATAAACATCAATCTGGGATTTGAACCAAGCTACCTACTATGCCTAGCTCTGAGCCTGTGCCCTTAAAAAATTAGTAATTATTATGCAATTACAGCATAGTAAGATAATTGTAACAGAGGTAAAAAATTCAAAGGAAGCACAGAGGAAGAGGCAATTTGTGTAGGGAGGAAGTCATTTTTTAAAAAGTTTTCCAAGTGGACTAGCAAGGAAAGAGAATTTCAGACACAGATAACAAGCATATGCAAAGGTAGAGGGAAAAGGAGGGTTCACCTGCGGCAAGAGTGGCAGGAGCTGAAGCTGGAGAGGAAGACAGAGAATGATCACAGAAGGCTGTGCATGTCAGGTGCCAGAGCATCTTTGTGAGGCCCCTGCCTCCTGCTGTGACTCAACTGTCCTCTACTCTGTAGGAGAAGGCCTTCCAGGAGCCTTCTAGTCCCTCAAACTCGTGGCGGTGGCCTCCTTCTGTAACGAGCTGCCCGTGCCAGCGAGCTGCCCATGCCAGCCAAACTGAAGGCCTTGTGTTTGCACCTATCATCCCACCCTCTCCAGCCATTGCAGTCTGTAACATGCCCCAAGATTCTGCTGACAGTCAGAGGACAGAGGCCCCAGGGAGTCCCCTATTCACCAGACGAGTGATAAGAGCTGACCCTTCAAAGTGAGACCCAGCTCTCACAGACCTCTCTGCCACAGAACCAAGGTATCTTCTGATTCTACTCACAGTTTAGAGTCCAGATTCAGGAGGAAGCCCAACCGATCATACTCTGAAAAAGAAAAGCAGAAAATGTCACTAGAAGTCAAGCCACTGATGACGCTAGTATATTCCATCCCCCAGACCTAGATCATGGGGACAGATAACCCTTGGAAAATTACACAATTCAGCTGCTTCAAAGAACACAACTAAATACATAAACCAAAAAACACCAGCTGAACACCTGTCTTGTGAAGGACCAAGTTCAATGCCAGGTATTTCCTATGCTTCTAGGGCAGCCAGTCCTATGTTGGTATGTAACTGCCTTCCTTCCTGTATCAATGTGGTAATTGGAACTGAAATTTAGTAAACCATGAAACTGGACCCTCGAAAAATAAGAGGCTCAGTTGCAATCTCTGCTTCCTCTAAGCTCTAAACACAGCATTTGCTGAATCAGCCATCTTAGCCATGTCTCTCCATGGCTAAGAGACATGGGTCCTCAAATCCATGCCAGTTCTCTTTATGGTCATCATAATGAACCAACAGATCAGATTACATAAAGAACAGCAAGTTTACCATAAAATTTAAAGAAAAACTGATGTTTGTAACAAGTGACCAATCAGATAAAAACTTTTAATTTATTTAAGTTCTTTACATCTTACCTCATTCTAAAATGAGGTTGAAGCAGTTCTACAAAATTGTATGTAGTATGAGATTTTAAAAAGGAGAAATCTGGGGCCAAAGTGGACATAAAAATAGGAAAATGCAGGGGTAAGGAAAATAGCAAAAGTGAACATCCTAGGGCCCTGTGTGCTTGCTGGAGGAAGATTACAGATCTGTCCCCAAGATTTTCAACAGCTAAAACTAAGTGCAAAGCACTGATTTCATGGTTCAGCAGTATCCAGAAAATAAACCAGGAGAATCACAGCTATTCTTGATACTAAGACTTGAGGGAAATTTCCTGTGTTCTCAAAAACATCTCTATCTGGAAAATCATAGGAAGTGTCATAGGATTATTTCTTATGGCTCTGCTCCATAACTGCAGAGTGTGTGTGTGTGTGTGTGTGTGTGTGTGTGTGTGTGTTTGTCTATGCCATATTTTGCATATTTTGGCATATGAATAAGGTGGCCTACGAATACAGTTCTTAGCTAAGCTGGCCTGGCTCAATCTGAGGGTAAAACAAAATACCAAGACCAAAATACTGAATGGAAAAGGCCAGGCAGCAAAGCTTTCAAGGAACTCAGACTTTAATAAGCAGTGAATGGCCAAAAGAGGGAAGTTACACAAGCTGACAAGTACTTCCCAGGAGTCATTCTGCAAGGCCAATTAAGGCCAGATTCATTGCTTTCAAAATCATCTGAGCTGTGAAGAGAAAATAAATCCTCTTCTTAAAATTGAAGATACCAGCAAGGACACTTAACTCAACAGAAGGCTTGCCTCCCAAGAGAATACCCTTGAGCAAGTGAAAGCTTTTCCTCAAAATAATTCTGGTTCTGCTCTAACGCAAACAAATGGATGAAAGACTTGCCTTAACATATCAAGAACTTACAAGCATTGGTAAGAAAAACAAAAAAGTCTTATATATAAAATAAAACTAAAAATACAATTTGCAAAGAGTCAGTGTCAAAGTTAAGTGATCTTTCAACAATCCTATTTTATCATTCCATAAAAAGGAAACCTCATCAACTTGCCAAATACCTGTTACCGTTTCCTTGTGTGGTGACAACCATGGGGGAACTCTCGTACTATTGCTCCTCAGACCTGAGCTAAGACTCCCTTAGACAACGAATCCATACTTTGGCAGATTCCTTCCAGAGAGGCCAGAGAATGTTTCCCTCATTGTTGCAAACTCAAATGCCAGGGGCTAAGCAAGAGAGAGCATAACCCAGAGAGAGCAGAGAGAGGGAAGCAGGAGAATGTAATACCCTCATACAGCAGCAGCTCACACTACTTATTTTAGTTGCATTAAAAAACAAGTCTTGTTGGAATCTTTTTTTTTTTCGATTCGCTGTTTTTTCTCCCATATATTTTCTGTATAGTAAAAATAATTGTATCTGGGGTTTATTATTTGCCAGTGGCATCTTAGTTTTGTTTTGTTTTACACACACGCACACGCACACATGCACACGCACACACACTGCATATTGAATTTCTAAGAACTCTGCATTTCTAAAGCAAGTTTGTCCCTTCATGGCTCTCTTGGTCTATCTGTTTTCTCTCTTTCATTAAGCGACACGAGAGCAGGACACAGTGCTGTAATCACAGCACCTTGGGAGGCCAATGTGGGAGGGTTGCTTGAGCTCAGAAGGTTGAGAATAGCCTGGGTAGCACAGTGAGCCCTCATCTGTTCAAAAAAAATTTTTTTTAAATTAGTTGGGCATGTTGGTGCACATCTATAGTCACAGCTACTCCAGAGGCTGAGGCAGGAAGATGGCTTGGGCCTGGGAGACAGAGACTGCAGTGAGCTGTGATCATACCACTGCCCTCTAGCCTGGGCAACACAGTGAAGGGTCACTGTACCCATACAGCTCTCAAAAAAGAGACATGAGTACCAGAATAATGACACTCATGATAAATGGCAACTGAATGGCAACTGGGCCTTGGCTTTAGCATCAGAACCCAGTGGGAACTGAGTCCATCTGGACAGTGCATGCCCTGCTGAAGGGCAGCTCCCACTAGCTCCTGCTAACTGCGCCAGGCACCAACACAGGCCCCACATTACCACATCTTCTGATTTTTTTTTCAAGCCAGGAATCTGGATTTTTAAGGTAAAATTAAGTTTATAAACATTGGCAAATAGATTCAAGAAAAATGTAAAGATGATGTGGACTGACAGCTCATGAGAGCTGCAGCTGCTCATAGTAGATGCTTAATAAATATTTGTTGACTGTTATCAGGATTATTTGGTCCCAATAGTCATAAATCCAAATCAAATTAGTGTAACAGGATGTTAGAAAGAAAATTTTACCCAGGCCTGTAAGGTGATACATTTCAGACACCATAGTGGAGCACTAGACTAAGATGCAGATTTTCAAAGGAAATCTCTGAATACTTATGTAATTCCAAAGGCCTTCCTACAACACATATAAATAGTAATCGGCTGCTGAAGATGAAGGGAGAGAGGATTTGAAAACTGCTTTATGGGGAGTTGTGTTATGAACCAGGCAGGATGGGTACTTGTCTCTCACTCCAGCCTGCTGAAGGAAGGCTGACAGGGCCATAAGGTATGGAGAACTCAATGGGCTGCCTGGGGCCCGCCTCCTACCCAGCAAGTCTAGAGGATATGCTGGGTGATGGATGATGGGCGGGCTGGCTGCAGGAGAGCACTGCATGGGGACTGGCCTGCACTCCCAAAATCTCTGGCAAAAACCAATGCATGAAGGAGCTGGTATGGGCTTGTTTTGGGTCCTCTCCAGAAGATCTGCCTGGAGGGTTGACCGGCCCTCGGCCAACAGAAGCAGGGGGTAAATGTTGGGATTTCCAGGGGCTGCAGAAGTGAGGAGCAAGGCAGAGGCACAAGCATTACCCATACTGGGAGAACCGCAGAGAACAGGGGCCCACGATGGAAACAGGTCATCAGAACACTTACAAAAGCACCCCACCAGAGTCAGCTTTAACCACTTGTCAGGTCCAGAGTGCAAACACTCTAGGTCTTTACTGCTCATTCTCTCTCCCTCCCACAGCAATCCGGGAGAGGTCAGAGGCAGCAGCTAATAGCTGGCAGAGGAGGGAAGAGGAAAGACAAGCAAGGCATGCCCTTTCCCTGTCAGGCACCTGCCAGCACTAAGCCCTACTGGGGGAAGGGAACAACTGCAGCTTTCATGAATTAAAAGCTGTGACTCTTACACAAGACAGGACACTCTAATTTTGGAAACAGCAACTCACTGTGACCATGGAATTTTTATTACTTCAGGTGTATTAAAGACATAACAACATTTTAAGGGAACAGTGGGAGACAAAATGAAGGTGTCTGTGATGATCCCTCCACATTTCCTCCATGCTCAACACACTGGTTGCACTAATTTAGGTGAACAGGGTGATTTAATGGTTCACATAACCAAAACGTGGGAAGGGCCAGAGTGCGGAGGGTCTCAGGGGTGGCCGAAAATGACTGGAATGTACCAATGGCCTCCCTCTGTTGCCTGTACTCTCCCCTGGTGAGCTTTCTTGGTAATTGAGGCAACATGGCCACCCGCAACCTGTAGGCAAACATCTTCCACTTTGCCACTGGCAAGGATTGCATTTTCCCTTCTGCTCCCAGGGAGAAACTCCTGGGGAAAGGCTAGGGCTGGTGGAGCTTGCACCAGCTCTTCATTCTGTTCTAGTCACAGAGACTAAGGAGATGGGGTTGGTGGAAAATGATGACTCCCATGCGATACGCATAGTTACAAGGAGCATTACCAGAAGGAAGGTGTTGTCCTGAACAAATAAAGTCCTCTCGCAAAGAGTAGGAATAATCTTTGGAAAACTTAAGAGCTAGCTAAATCTCCCAGGAAAGTGCATAGCCAGTTAGAATGAGCCATGGACCCCATTTCTCTCATCCTCGGTCCTCTGTCAAACCCTTCTCATAACGCCCTCTGATGCCCCATTCCAAACACCCAGCCCACCCCCTCTACCTCCTGCCACAAGTGTAGCCTGGCAGACCCTTCAAGGCTTTTCTTGAGACTCTCCAGGAGAGGCTGCTTTTCCTCCCCTTTGCAAAGCACCTGTGGGAAATGAGAAGGGAGTGCTTATGACACACAGTGCTGTGGTTTTTATCATCTTTCTGTGTTTGGCATCCTTGGGGTTCTTGGATCTGTGGGATTTAATTACATTTGAAAAAAATTTCGTTCTTATTTCTTCAGATATTTTTCTGCCCTCCTCTTTTAGGGGCCCCAATAACACGTGTATTAGACTGATTGAAGCCCCACAGCTCACCAGTGCTCTGTTCATTTCTTTCCCCCAGTAGTGTTTCACTCTATGTTTCTTTCCTTTTCGTTTTTTAAGAGACAGGGTCTCAATCTGTAGCCCAGGCTGGAGAGTGGTGGCACAATCATGGCTCACTGTAGCCTCTAACACCTGGGCTCAAGCAA